TTGGGGTTTTTTGGGGTTTTTTTTGGGGGTCCCGGGGCCTCCCCTCCCCCCACCGGTACCTGCGGCGGCGGCGGGCGGAGACACGTGGGGCGGAGCGCGCTGCGCATGCGCCGCGCCGCGCCGCGCTATTGGCTGGCTCTCCGGCCGAGGGGCGGGGCTTCCGGTGCCGCCGAGTTCATCCGGAAGGAGCGCCGCTGGCCGCAGCGCTCGGCGCCCCCTAGCGGCGCGGCGGTGCAGAACGCAGCGGGGGAAGGCGCCCGAAAATGCCGGAAATCACCCCAAAAAAAACCCCGAAAACAGCCCAAAAAACACCCGAAACCACACCAAAAAACTCCGAAAACAGCCCAAAACCCCACAAAATGACCTCAAGAACACCAAAATCGCCGCAAAACCACCCTAAAAACCCTCAAAATTGCCCCCAAAGCCACCCCAAAATCACTCCAAATCACCCCAAAACCATCCAGAATCACCCCAACCACCCCAAAACTGCCCCAAAATCACCCCAAAACCCATAAACCCCTCCCAAAATCCCCCAAACCACCCGAAACCACCCCAAATCAAGCCAAAAACTCCCCCAAAATCCACTCAAAACCCCCCAAATCCCCCCAAAATTCCCCAAAATCAACCTAAAAACCCCCAAAATCCCCAAATCCCCCCAAAATCCCCCAAAAGCGACCCCCACCCGGGGGGGGCGGGGCCTGGCGTTTATTGGGGACTCGAAAAGGGGCCGGGGACCCCCGGGCTGGGGAGGGGTCCCCGCGAATTTGGGGAGGGGTCCCCGGGCTTTTTGGGGAGACCCCCCCAGATTTTGGGGCGATTTCCCGGGGTTTTGGGTGACGTTCTCTGCAGGTTTTGGGGTGGAATCCCTCAGATTTTTGGGGTGATTCCCCCTGAATTTGGGGTGGGGTCCCCCCAAATTTTGGGGAGGGGTCCCCGGGGTTTTTGGGGTGATCCCTCTCACATTTTGGGGCGATCCCCCCCCATTTTTGGGGTGAATTCCCCGGGTTTTGGGGTGGATTCCGCCTGGATTTTGGGGAGGGGTCCCTGCAGATTTTGGGGTGATTTCCCCTGAATTTCGGGTGGGATCCCCCTAAAATTTGAGGAGGGGTCTCTGCAGATGTTGTTGACGATCCCCCGGGGGTTTTTGGGGTGATCCCCCCCGGTTTTGGGGCGGTTTCCCCCGTTTTTGGGGTCACTGCTTCTGCTGCAGCGCCTCCTTGCGCGCCGCGTCCTGCAGCAGCTGCGTGTCCACCTCGTCGGCAGGCAGCTGCACGTAGCGCACCACGGAGCCCCGGATGAAGCAGTTCTTCACCGACAGCTGGGGGATGGGGCTGTTTTGGGGCAGTTTTTGGGGTCCCCCCGGGTCAGTTTTGGGGCAGTTTCAGGGGTCCCGGGGCAGTTTTGGGGTGTGTTTGGGGGTCTCTCAGTTCTGGGGTGTGTTTGGGGGTCCCGAGCCCCCCTGACCTGAGGTCGTTCTTCAGCTCCACCACCACGTCCTTGCCCACCAGGGACTTGAAGAAGGAGTAGAACAGCTGGGGGGGCCCGGGGTGTCCCCTCCTTGTCCCCAAATGTCCCCAATGTCCCCCCAATGTCCCTCCACGTGTCCCCGGTGTCCCCAGGATACTCAATGTCCCCAATGTCCCCGTGTCCCCCCCATGTCCCCCAGGTGTCCCCTGTCCCCGTGCCAGTCCCGCGTCCCCTTCCTGTGTCCCCCCCACGTGTCCCTGTCCCCTCACGTGTCCCCTCCCACGCGGGGCCGGGCGGGACCGGGACAACCGGCCCTGTGTCACCCCTGTCACCTGTGTCACCTGTGCCACCCATGTCACCTGCCCCCTCGCCGGCCCTGCCACCTCCCTGTCACCAACCTGGCACCTGTGTCACCTCTGTCACCCCTGCCACCAGCCTGGCACCCCTGGGACCCCTGGCACCTCTGTCACCTGTGCCACCTGTGCCACCTGTGCCACC